TGCCAGCCTCCCCGCTGGGAGTGGGTGCTGGGGAGTCCAGTGGGCTGGGCTCGGGTCCTGGCCCGTGGCCCAGTGTGTCGTGGGGGTCATGCTCTAGAGTGAGCTGGAGCAAGCGGCTGGTTTCCTGGATCAGCAGGTCAATCTAGGGAGGCGCAGGTGTAGGCAGGTGAGTCGGAAGACTGGGGCAGGCAGGGCCGCAGGCTGGAAGGGGCCGCTTCATCCCGATCCCCATGTTCGGGAGCCCGTACCTCGTCCAGGGGGACATTCCGGATGGGGGTGCCATTGATCTCCAGGATCCGGTCGCCAATGTGGATGGAATTCTTCACATCGGGGCTCATGCAGCCCGGGTCCACTCTGGAGGCACATAGCAGAGAGAGGTCAGTGACCACCAGGCCCTGGGACCCTAATAGGAAACCAAAGCCCAGGGGACCGTGCCAGGGGCCTATCCTGCCCGACCTACAGGTGACAACTGTCCAGGGCAATGAGGTCTGGTTTGGTGGGATGAGCTCTGTCATAGATTACTCATGTCTGCCATGGGTGTGGCACTGGAGATAAGAGTCAGGCTTCCAGCTAGTTGCTATCCCGCGCCCAGGCTAGAAACACAGATTTTTCAGCAGAGCCCAACGTCACCACCTTGGGCATACAGCCTTCCCAACATCCTGCCTGGGATGCTCAGGTAGATGGTTATCAGGGTGAGCTGGCTCCTAAAAAGGCATCATTTCTAGCGGAGCTTCACACTCCCCAAGACATGACGCAGTCTCCCTTAGGGCAGTACACTTTCATGAGATGTATCCGTGGGGGGTGAGGGGGGATTAAAAAAAATTTGTGTGTACTCATACATTAAAAAAATTTTTTTTGGTATATACTTAGGAGTGGACTTGCTGGGCATATAGTTACTATCTATTGAGCTTTTTGAGGACCTGCCAGGCCACTTTCCAGAGCAGCTGCAGCATTTTACATTCCTGCTAGCAATATACGCAGGCAGGTTCCAACCCATTTTCTCCAGGACTTGTTATTGTCTGTCTTTTTTATTGTAGCTCTATGGGTCATTCTGATTTGCATGTCTCCAAGGCTTCCTGATGTCGAGCATCTTTTTGTGTGATTGTTTTCCATTTGTGTATCTTTTACGGAGAAATGTCAATTCAGATCTGTTGCCCATTTTAAAATTGAGTTGTCTTTATTTATTGATGACTTGCAAGAGTTCTTTAAACCCTAATCAGATACTTTCAAATATTTTCTCCCATTGTGTGGGTTGTCTTTTCGCTTCCTTTATAGTCCTCCCCCCACAATGGGTGTCTTTAAAGGAGCTCTAAAGGTGGTGTAGTGGTTCCGTGTCGGACTGCAATCAAGGTCTCAGCAGTTTGAATCCCCCAGCTGCTCTGAGGGAGAAAGACAGGGCTTTCTACTCCTGTAAAGAGTTGGGGTCTCAGAAACCCACAAGGGCAGTTCTACCCTGGCCTACGGGGCTGCTATGAATTGGCATCAACTCGGCAGCAGGGAGTTTGGTTTGGGGTTTGGGTGTCTCATCAATTCCAGGAATGTTCTCAGCCAGGGCAGCTTCAATCCTGCCCTCTCCTCCCCACTACCCATGTCTCTCTAGGACGCTAAAGCAATCTGTTCTCTAAAGACACGACAAGGGGGCTTCAAAGAAAGGCCTTACAAGAGAATGGAATTTTCCTACAACCTTTTACCGCCCCTCCTGTTTCAAGCTTTCTCGCTCAGTTCTCCTTTTGTCTCGGTCACGCTCTCTTCAGTGGTCGGAAACCCTTCTCTACCGTTACCACATTGCATTGAGGCTGCCCTTCATTGACAGCTAACTATGCAGTTCAGTCCAAGAGTTCTCTCCCGGTCGGTCCCCATGTCATTTGCTATTTGCTCATTTTTGCAGCATGGACCGACGCACTGCCTGCAGCAATGGGCTCAAACATTCACAACTGGGAGGACGGTGACAGACCGGGCTGTGTTTCCTTCTGTGGTCCAGAGGGTGGCTATGAGTGGCACCTGACTGGATGGCACCTATCAACGACAACGACGACAACTTCTCTCTCAAAGAACATTGATTGAAGTACATTCAGTGAGGCCAGGAGGTAGGTTTCCTCGCCAAAGGCTCTTCAAACAGCTGGGCGAGGGCCTCTGGGGTAGTTATGGATGGGGGTGGAGGGTGGGGTGTGTGTGTGTGTGTGTGTGTGTGGTGCGAGATGAGGATGGGGGATGTTGCACTACTAGTTGAGAGCCACCTGAAAACACCCTTTTGGTATTAGGTATCAAAGATCTAGAACAAGAAACCTTATCATTGTGAATGAGGCGGAGTACAGAGTGGAGACTCAAAGCCCATCTGTAGGCAATTGGACGTCCCCTTACAGAAGGGTCACAGAGAAGAGATGAGCCAGTCAGGGTGCAGTATAGCACT